CCCTTTCTCTAGCTAACTTCATTTTCACGTTCTCTTATTCTCCAAATGAAATAAAGCAAGAAATTCCTAAGTCCTATCTCACTAAGAACTATGAGCCCATAAACTACAATTTAAAATCCCAAATTTAGACATGAGCAACCTCAATGGTTTCAGTAAATGGAAACTGTTGAATTTAAAGCTCTCAAATACAAAGACATTTAGATAGTTACCATCTCCAAAAAGATGTGTCATAAGTTTTGTAAGTGATTGTTTCAGGTCAAACTCTACCAGCTTCATGGCCTCCATGGTATGTGTCTCTTGTTTATGGGCACAGCGAGAACTGTCTTCAAAGAGCTGTAGGCTTTCTCCATCCTTTATGTCAGCAAACAACTGTGAACAAAGAGGAATCACATGAATAAGTAAAAACACTTTTCAGGACAGTCTAAAACAAAGGATGAAGAAATTATGCAAAATACACAATTGCTGGTTTTTTTTCTTCATGTAGTCTTATTACCACATACTTCACTATCATCCAATTTAATTTTTCAATCATATTATGAACATTTGAGCCATCATCACCACCATCAATTTTAAAACATGTTCTTCTTGTACTCATTGTGTTTGGCTACCCAATTCATCTCATCCTCCACTGCCATGCCCTTTGGTAATTATTAATACAGTTCCTGTAAAGAGTTACAGTCTCAGAAACCCGGGGGCCCAGTTCTATCCTGTCCTACAGGGTCACTATAAGTCAGCATCAACTGGATGGCAGTGAGTTTTGAGTTATTTTACAATCAATTAAAAACCTGAAAGGAGCCTAGTGATGGTACAATGGTTAAAGGGTTGAGCTACGAACCAAAAGATGGGCAGTTAAAACCATCAGAAAAATGGGGCAATCTGCTTCTGTAAAGCTTCACAGCCCTGGAAACCCTATAGGGCAACACTACTCTTCTATAGGGTCACTTTAAGTTGGATCCCTCATTTGACATTTGCTAGAATTTACAATCATTTTTTTAAGAAGAGACATGATGTCTCTGAGTATGATGTCCCTTAGAGTGAGACCAGAGGCTAAATGAGAAAGCAATACCTCCGGATAAAATGCGGTAAAGACCATGAAGGCAGGAACCTAATCGATTTGCTAAGCTTTTATGTCCAAAGCACAAGACTGGACCTACAACATATTTCTGTGATAAAGACTTGGCTCAGTGATAGGATGGCTAAGGCTCAGATAATAATCTGTCAAATGGAAGTAATACTACTAACTTGATAAGCTTCCTGGTAAGAAATAAAACAATGCACAGAGCAACTGGCACAGTGCAATGGCTAAGTAACTTTTATTGTTAAGTCATGGTCATTATTAGTCATAGATACTTGATCACCGAAATAAAGTATTCCCATCTTTAACAATATAACAGATCTTTATATGCTGTCTGCTAAGAGACTTGCTGGAATAAAGAACTAGGCAAATAAGTCTACCTATAACTGCTCCCAAATGAAATCCCACAAAAGTACAGATTTAATTTTTTTTAAATAAAAGAATTAATCATCTTCCATTTCCATTAATGTGGTAATTAGAATCAACCTTGTTGGCAGATGGAATTAAAAATGTATGTAATTTTTTAGAGTTCTGAAGTAATAGCACAATAGAGAGAAATTACCGAACAAAATTATACAAAAAAACCAAGACACTAGAGAAAACCCTAGCAAGTAGCCAGAGAGAAGCCTTGGGAATACTTCTACAATAGCAAAAACATGGAAACAACCAAAACCCTGATTACAGAGTTGGATAAACAAGCTCTGGTATTTGCATACTATGTAATTTTATGCATTAGTTTAAAAAATGATAATTCTCTTAAACCCCACAAGACATGGACAAAACTAGAAAACATTATGTTTAGCAAACTCAGTCAATCTTACACAGATAAATATTTAATATCACCACTGTTAAAAGCAAA